ACATTACCTTCCTTTTTAATGTATCTTCTAAAAATTTTATATAATTGTGTTCCTCATGAGATGTAAATCACATACCATACAATTTACCCCTGTAAAGTTTGTATTTTAGTGGTCTTTAATATATTCAGAATTATACAACCATATCAATTGTAGAATATTTTTATTACCCAAAAAGGAACCCATAAGCATTAATAGATACTCTCTGTTTTTCCTCAACCATCTTATTTAGGTAAAGCATGTATATTTTCTGTCTCTATATATTTATTTTGAGCATGTTATATAAAATCATACAAATGTAATGTTTTTGAATAACTTATTTCATATGGTATTTTCAAGATTTATCCATGTTGTAGCATATATGAGTGCTTTAATTTTATTGCTGATGAGTATTCCGTCTATGAATATGCCACATTTCTTCAGGTGATAGGCATTTGGAATTTTTAAAAATATTCATGTATTTTTTATGTTTGGCTATTATAAGTAATAGCCAAAAGTTTTTGTGTGGAATTAAATTTTCTTGTCACTTAGGTAAAGTAGACTACTGTAACAATAGTCTACTTTATACTTTAAATATAGCACTGGCTGCTCTGCCACTGCAACTTAATTTTAAAAGAACATGTTTCTGTTTCTTCCTCTCTCCTACCTCCTACATAATCTTTCCACTTCCCTAATCTCAGGGAAAATAGTAATATCTTTCTTTCCTATCCTGTGTGGAGTTATCTGTCCTTGAGTGCACACTCAATGCATGAAGGAAGTAATCCAGATTTGGGAAGGATGCCAGAAGATCTCAGAAATGACTGTCTCCCAAATTAACAAATGAGTTACAACTCCCACAGAGAGCACATAGAATGTAGCCCTTGAATCACCTCTTTAATAACTCCCTGTTCCCAAGATGGGCAGAATCCCAGCCTCTAGGACAGGAATCCCCTTTTTCTCCTTTGTTAGCAAAGCAGTAAAATGCCTTTTTTCACTTTTTCAAAACCACATCCTCCTTATTAGATTGGCATGGGGACAAGGACCCAGCTTTCAAGCTTTTGGTAACAGACCTACTAGTAGTATTACAAAGTAATATGGCAAATTCATCTTCAACATTTTGAGGAAGTGCCAGTTCTTTTTCATTCTTTTTATTTTTTCCTTTTTTATTGTGGTAAAATGCACATGACATAAAATTTACCACATTAACCATTTTTAAATGTATGGTATAGTAATATTGTCCATTCATAGTATAATTCAACCATTATCATCATCTATCTTCAGAACTTTTTCATCTTTCCCAAATGAAACTCTTGTATTATAGACTCAATGATTATCTGTCTGTCTGTCTATCTATCTATCTATCTATCTATCTATCTATCTATCTATCTATCTATCTATCTTATTTTGCACAATTTTTAATTCTAATCAGTTAAGAAAGGAAAAGAGATATGCAATTGTACTGTCTTTAATAATTACAAGATTACTTTTGATTTTATCTGTGTATTCAAATTATTGTCTTGTGTCACTTAGTTTTTGAACACATTTCATATATCTTGTAAGATATGTCTGCTACTAATATCTTTACTTCACATTCAGTTTTCAAATACTGTTTTGATGGATATAAGATTCTTATTGCATAGTTCTTCTCCTCCCCCCTTTAACCAGTTTTTTTTTTTGCCATTCATCTTGCTGCTCTCTAGTCTTTATTATTTCTGATAAGAAGTCATATGTTAATCTTTTTAGAATTCTGTATATATGATTCATTTTTACTTTTAAGACTTTTTTTGTTGTCTTTTGCTTCAACATTTTATGATGAGGTGTCTTGTGTGGATTTTTTATGCTATTTAGAGTTGGTTTCATATACGTTTCATACATGTAGATCAACGCTTTTAATCAAACTTTAGAAATTTTGACATTTAAAAAAATATTTTTATCACCTTTAACTTTATGCTCCTTTTCTGATACATATATATATATGTTGGTGTGCCTAGTGTTGTCTGACATTTCTCTGAAGTTCCATTTTTTTTTTCTGTTTTCTCTCTGTTTTTTGGTTTACATAATGTCTACCAAGCTATCTTCAAATTTGCAAGTTTTTCTCTTTTGCCAATTCAAGTTTGTTGCTTGCCCCTGATTAATTTTTCATTTTACTGTGTGCTTTTTACTTCCAGAATTTCTGTTTGGTTCCTGTATTATAATTTATGTCTATTTATTGTTCTCTATTTGATGAGAAATAGACCATCATTCTTTCCTGAACTTCTGTATGCTTTCCTAGTAAGGCATTTGAATATATTTCTAACAGCTTTATAACATATTCATTTGATTTTGTTTGCTATGTCTGACTTGTGGAAACTTTTATAAGCAGATCTTGTTGCTTGTTCTTTTTTTTTTTTCCCCTTGGTCTCACTTCTCTGATTCTTTTTTTTTTTTTTTTTTTTGATGTGTCTTAATTTTGTTCTTGTTGTTGAAACCAGGACTGTAACAATTGTTAAGGTTATAATAATTCTGATATTGATTCCCTCCTTCTCCCTGGGATGATTGTTATTTTTATTTATTTTTTTTAATCTAATGACTTGGCTGGACTAATTCAGTGAATCTGTTTCCTTAGTAGATGTGCAGTTTCTGATGTCATTTATTGGGGACCCTATTCACAGTTATACTAAGATAACAGTGGTTTTATTAGTGAGCCTCTTTAATTGTCCCTTTCCCCTACTTTGTTTAGCTTGTATAATAGTCATTCCTTTATTCATAGTTTCACTTTCCTACATACTGTTATTTTTTCAGACAGGATTTTAATATGTTGCCCAGGTTGAACTTCAACTCTTGATCCACCAACCTCAGCTTCCTAAGTAGGTGGGATTACAGGCATGTACCACCATGCCCAACTTGGTAGTTTCACTTTGTATGATTTCAGTTACCTAAAGTCAGTCATGTTCCAAAATATTAAATGAAATATTCCATAAATAAACAATTCTTAAGTTTTAAATTGTGTATTCTTCTGAGTAGTGTGTTGAAATTTTACACCATCCTGTTCTATCTTGCCCAGGATGTATATCATCCTGTTTTCTATCATATTCATATTATCTATACTACTTACCCCTTAGTCACTTAGCCATTTTGATTATCCAGTTATAAACATAAATGGGTCTACAGTCTGTTCCAATTATATTCAGGCCCATTTGCAGAAGTTATTTTGAGATTACACTTTGAGGCTACATCCTAGGTAGGAGGATGGTTCTTCACTGTTGCTTTTCATGATTATTTCTCTGAAATGTCTAACTTATCTAGGTTTCAACAATTGCTATTCTGGAGCTATTAGTCTCCTCTTAGTTGCTTACATCCCAATTTCTGTTGTTTTCTTCAACACTCTTAGGCTTCAAATTCTACACACTGTGTTCAAAATCAAGTCAGTCTGCTAGAGCTACTGAGCTTTTTTCTCTTTCTTCTTTTTTTTTTTCCTTATGACTTGCTTTTCTTCAATCAAAACATCTGCAGTACTTCTGTGGTGCTTGTGGCAAACACAGTGACCACCCTTTTGTGAAATGCACTTTTGCTTTATGCATAGGAAACTGGGAAGAATTGGTAGTTTCTTGTGTTCTTAAGCTTACTTCTCTTGAAATCTATACCCTTAAACTTAATGGGAATAAGGGGAATAAGGGTCTAGCATTTTTGGTTTCTCCTACCTAAAATGGAGCATTCTTTCATTTCTGAAGTGGGAAAGGAATGATGGAGAAGAACCAGACCTTTCATGTTCTCCTTGTCTCCTTGTTGGAATAATACTTCTTCATGGAGGTAGAAATGTTGAAATGTTTATGTCCTGCCACTCTTAGGGATGTACTGGAGCCCTAGCTAGTATCTGAGGCAACAAGAAACCACATTATCCTTGGCTGTATCTACCAGAGTAGAGTTTATGCCTCCCTGAACTAGGAGGAAAGGGCAAACTGAAGGAGTTAGTAGTCTCTTTCTGGCTAATCTCTTCTTCCCTCCATTTCTATTTCTCTCTCTCTCTCTCTCTCTCTCTCTCTCTCTCTCTCTCTCTCTCATATATACATATATGTGAATGTGTATGTATATATATATGTATGTGTATATATATATATATATATATATAGTAGGTGGACACAATACCTTTACTTTGTTTATTTTTATGTGGTGCTGGGGATCGAACCCAGTGCCTCATGCATGCTAAGCAAGTGCTCTACCACTGATCCACAACCCCAACCCCCCATTTCTCTTTTTTCTCTCTCCCTCTTTCTCTGTCAACCTCTCCTAAAATTTTTTACTTCATTTGCAAACCTCCCAGTTCTTTTATGGAGGTTTTAATGGTCAATATTAGTCTTTGCCTTCTTTATGCAGTTTGTTTTAGGACATGTTGATGGAATCTCAACTAGTTCTTTTTGTAATTTCATTGTGTTTTAATTAGCTTTCATCATGCTGTGTGGTGAGCCGCTTCTGCCGTTTCTGCAGACTATGGTCGCCATTACAAGATGGCGCTGGCTCCGCTGTGGTCTGTGACAAACAACTCCTTATTTGGGAGAGTTGGTGCATGGTTTTTCACCACCCTATGAGAAAGCTCCACGTGGCAGCTTCGCATTGGGGCTTGAGATGCTTTATTAAGGCTGGGAGGGGCATCCGAGAGGGAGAAGAAGAAATATCAAGGGCCTGAATAAACTGCTGAAAGAAGATTCCTGAGTTGCGTCTTCCTTGCGGGCAAGGGGTCGCGACAAGTGGTGTCGAGACCCGGTAACCAGAACTTTCAGCAGTCAGGGGTGGTGCACCGGTTAGTCCCAGGTAAGTGGGATCCGCGACCAAAGCGGGGTTAGTCCCAATAAGTGGGATCCGCGATCAAAGCGGGGTTAGTCCCGGGTAAGTGGGATCCGCGACCAAAGCGGGGCAGCTCCTCTGTAGAGAAAGAGAGAGCATTACATTTTATTGCAGCTGCACTGTGTACTTTCGCTTTTGTTTTCTGTGTTTCTTTTGTTGTGTCATTTCGCTTTTGTTTTTTGTGCTTCTTTTGTTGTTGTGTCATGGGTGCCGCATCTTCAAGTCCGCTTCTCCTGGCCCTAGATGGCCTGTTACGTTCCAAGGGCCTGGAAGTGAAACATAGTACTTTACAGAGATTTTTACAGAAGATAGATATCGCTGCACCGTGGTTTGCATTTTCGGGCAGCCTTACTGTACCTAGTTGGGATAAATTAGGCAAAGATCTTGACTTTGCTTCTGAGCAGGGCATATTAGAGGGTGGGGTGATACCCCTTTGGAAAATGGTCCGTAGTTGCCTTACAGATGGCAGATGTCAGGAAGCACTTACTAAAGGACAGGAAGTTCTAGAGCAATTACATGAGGAGAAATCGGAGACGGCAGGAAGTGAGGTGCCTCAGGAGGATGGGAGTGTGCGGAGCGTGAAACAGGGGAGGAGACGATTGTATCCAGATCTCAGTACACTGCGCACACCCCCATGTGAAAGTGGGTCAGAGGAAGAGGAGGATGAGGAGGAAGAGCTCGGGAGGCTGTCTCGTCAGCTAGAGAGTTTAGCTATAGGAGAAGGGAACAGAAATAAACAGGGGCTCAAGAAAAGCGATCCGCCGGATCCACCGCCGTATGGTGGGGGTGTTTCGGGGAGAGCTTTCCATGCCCAAACATGGAGGGCTGTTAACGCTGAGATGGGTCTTGCTTATCCAGTTTTTCAGGATGACAATAGGGGAAGATTCCATGAACCCTTAGATTTTAAAATTGTGAAGACCCTGGCGGAGTCTGTGCGCACTTATGGCATAGATGCCGCTTTCACTCTCACTCAGGTGGAGGGACTTACTAGATTTTGCATGACTCCCTCAGATTGGGCTAGTCTAGTCCGCGCTTGTGTTTTCCCAGGGAAATATTAGGAGTCCAAAGTTGGCTGTTTAATGTTTCTGGCAGTACCCAAGACTCGGAGCGAGGTAGGAGACTTAAAATTACTTCACACAATTCACAATTGTTTAATGCTACATTACCCTCCGCAACAGTCTGTCTCCAATCTCCGTTCTTGTTTCTTTTGGCTAATGTTACATTACAGGGGATGCTTAATTGTTCTAATATTACCTGTTATTTGTCTGAGTGTTGGAATGGCTCCTGGACTACGGCAGTGGTTATGAAAATTCCAACTTTTGTCCCGATCCCAATTACTGCAGATCCAGAATCTTTTCCTATTGTTGAACTGATTAGAGCCCGTAGAGATTTTGGAATTACGGCAGCTATAGTGACAGCTGTGGCAATGTCTGCTGCTGCAGCAGTTACAGCTGGAGTAGCCATGGCCAGCCAAGTACAAACTGCTGCCACTATTAATCAGGTTATTCAACAAACATCCACCATACTTGAATCTCAAAGTAGAGTTAATCAACACATTTTATCTGGGATTCTAGCTGCTAATCAAAGGATAGATCTGCTTCAAGCTCAAGTTGAGGAATTGTCTGATCTAGTACATTTGGGTTGTATTGATCAACGTGCACATTTATGCATAACCTCTGTCAGATTTAATGATTCCAGAAATGCCTCCCGCATCATCGGAGAGTATCTATCCGGAACCTGGTCCATGGAAGCAGAAGACTTGATCCAGTCTCAACTAACTCAGATTGCTGTTCTGAATAGCACCCGTGTTGAACCAGTGACTTTGGGTCAATTCACCAGTTGGCTATCCTCTGCCTTTTCCTTTTTTAAGGAGTGGGTGGGGGTAGGCATTTTTGGTGCAATGTGTTGCTTCGGTATGTTCCTCTGTTTGTGGTTTCTCTGTCGCCTTAAGGCCCGCAGTGCTCACGATAAGGCTATGATCATACAAGCTCTTGCAGCTTTAGAAAATGGCAACTCACCTCAAGTCTGGCTTGCGCATCTTAAACAGTAAACCTTTGACATGGTTGTTACACCCCAAGTTATTATAACATTGCACTGGGATCGACATGACTTTCCTTGTTATTCTCTTAGTGTTGGAAAGCCCTTGCACTCTGCCGGTCTTACTGCCATTGCACGCAGATGGGTTTCCACACTAGTGCTTTTCTATCGCCTTAAAGTCCGTGACTTTCTTTCAGGGTGCTGTCAACTTGTTTGTCGTTATAAAAAGCCACAGTTCAACCTCAGCTATCCCCCTTCGTCCACCATCGTCACGATACAGGATGCGAGGCAAGGCACTGCACTTGAGTGATCCTTGACGTGGACCTCAAGGAGAGCATGTCCTATTGCATGCGGGTTAGACGCGTCCACGCCCCGCCCCACGAAAAAAGGCGTCGGCTGATATGGCCTCAGATCTGGGGAAGGGCCCTCCTTAGGACTGAGCCATACTATGCAGCCACTTCTGCACAGTGGGATAGGACCTCTACTCTCGCCTGTATTGTTTTAAGAAAACAGAAAGGGGGAACTGTGGTGAGCCGCTTCTGCCGTTTCTGCAGACTATGGTCGCCATTACAAGATGGCGCTGGCTCCGCTGTGGTCTGTGACAAACAACTCCTTATTTGGGAGAGTTGGTGCATGGTTTTTCACCACCCTATGAGAAAGCTCCACGTGGCAGCTTCGCATTGGGGCTTGAGATGCTTTATTAAGGCTGGGAGGGGCATCCGAGAGGGAGAAGAAGAAATATCAAGGGCCTGAATAAACTGCTGAAAGAAGATTCCTGAGTTGCGTCTTCCTTGCGGGCAAGGGGTAGCGACAATGCTGGCCTCCTAAGGATGCTTTGGGTTTCTGATTATCTCATATATTCTGTGTGTTATTCTATATCAATGTGTTTATATAGTTTCTTTAGTTTTTCTGGATGTTGATTTCTAATTTCATTCCATTATGGTCACATAAAATGAATGGAATTCTGGCTTTTTTGTTTGTTTGTTTGTTACATTTGCTAAGAGTTGCTTTGAGACCTAAAATATGGTCTGAAAACATTTCATGAGCCGCTAAGAAGAAAATGAATTTTAGCCATTGTTGGATAAAATGTTCTGTAGATGTCTGTTAAGTCCATTTACTTTATAATATTTTTATTGTATGATTTTATATTTTTTGTGTCCAAAGAGCCTTTACTGAGTTTATGGCTGGATGAGCTATCTTCTAGTGACACAAGTCTGTTGAAATCACCTAGTATTATTGCTGTGGGGTCAGAATCTTTAATTCAAGTTATGTCTATTTTATATAATTAAGTGCACTGATGTTTGGGACATAAATATTTCTTATTATATCTTCTTGTTGGACTGTTTTCTTTACTACTATGAAGTAACCCTCTTTGTCTCCTCTGATTAATTTTGGCTTATGCTCTCCTTTTTCAAATAAGAGTAGCTACTCCTGATTATTTTGGGGCTCCATTTCATTTGTCTTGTACGTAGAAGGGTATGTGGGTTGCACTATATGCGATTGTTCTTTTTTACTTAACAACTCCATATGGAGTAATTCCAGATTGAGACCTCTCATAAGTGTGGTATCCTCAGTCTTTGTGTTAATTCTGGTTTTTGCTATAAGAGTGAATGTCATTGAGTCAGTCCTGATGGCTCCTTGTATCTTTTCCTGTATGGTGCCTGATCATTAGTTGAGGATCCTGTCTCTTCTGTTCTTTGTATTAAAATATTGTTGAAGTTTGAGTGTGGTTTGTGTGTTGAGCAATGTACACTATCTCTTGGCTTTGTTTAGCTCAACAGCATTCTCTACCCTGTGAACTCATAGTGGTCCACTAATTTCCCAGTACCTAAGAGAAAATGGGGAAATGAATAACAGAACAATATACAGCACTACAATAAATAACTAATGCCTACTAGGAAATCTACAACACTCGTTACCACAAAAACAAGATTACTGGGATCAGTAATTGTTTTTTTTTTTTTTTTAAAGAGAGAGGGGAGAGAGAGAGAGAGAGAGAGAATTTTTAATATTTATTTTTTTTTAGTTTTTCGGCAGACACAACATCTTTGTTTGTATGTGGTGCTGGGGATCAAACCCGGGCCGCACGCATGCCAGGCGAGCGCGCTACCGCTTGAGCCACATCCCCAGCCCGATCAGTAATTGTTAACAGCAAAAATACATAGGTGAACTAGATCTGACATTAAATATCAGGTGTCAACTCTGCCATCTACAACTCTAATCTCTGCAACACATGAAAGGTTGGCGCAGCAATTATATAAACCAAATAGTTCTGAAAGATGGTAAAAATACACTTCATTAAGAGAAATGAAAATGTTGTTAGAAGATTAAAAATAGTTTAGGAACAGAAGAGATGAAACAAGTGATGGGTATACGTAAGTAGAAAAGTAATTGAAACAGAATGAATGAGAAAACAAGGAAATTTGGCTGTTAGAGGGAGAAGAAAGGGAGAGAGAGAAATAAAACCAACACCAATTTAAAAAAAAAAACCTTCAAAAGACTAGACTATGAAAAGTAACAGAACTATACTAAAATAAGAGAACAAAAAGAATCAGATATCTACATGTATGTCTATTCATGTACTAATCAGCATAGATTAATTCACCCACATTTCTTGATTCTAAGAATATCTGACAGTCCAATATTGAATTTATGTATATTGTGACAAAACCGTAAACTTATTAATAGCAGCTGTTTGGTTAAAGGATGAATAGTGTTTGTTTTGGGATCTGTTCACATTGTTCTCCCCCTTAAAGGAGAGGTATTAGAAACCTGCAGGGACATTATAAGCCAATAGAATAAAAACTGTAATGCCTCAGATCTGAAGTGCTAGAAGGGAAGACACATGAACAACATGAAAAAACAAGGGAAGAAAATATCCCCCAACAAACCAAGACATTATTACATTATTAGAATCGATGACCAGCAAAACAGTAGAAATGACAGAGCAGGAGTTTAGGTTGTACATAATTAAAATGTTCTGTGAATTCAAGGATGATAGAAGAGAGCAAATACAGGCAGCAAAAGGTCATTTTGATAAAGAGCTACATAAGCAAGTACAGAAAACAAACCTTACTTCAATAAAGAGATAGAGGTTCTGAAAAAAATCCAGAGATCCTTGAAATGGAAAAAACAAATTAAATTTAATCAAATTAAAAGCTGAATAGAAAGTATCATCAACAGATTAGATCACTTGGAAGATAGGACCTTTATTATATGAAGATAAAACATATGATCTTGAAAAGAATGTTGACCACACCATGAAGATGGTAAGAAACCGTGAGCAGAACATTCAAGAATTATGGGAGAACATAAAAAGACCAAGTTTAAGAATATTGTGATAGAGGAAGGCACTGAGTTCCAAACTGAAGGAATAAACAATCTATTTAATGAAATAATGTCAGAAAAATTTTCAAACATGTAGAATGAATTAGGAAATCAAATACGAGAGGCTTACAGGACACCAAATGTACAAAATTATGAGAGCTCTACGCCAAGATACGTTATACTGGACATGCCTAGCATACAGAATAGGGAGAGAATTTTAAAAGCCACAAGAGAAAGGATTCAAATTACATATAGGGGGAAACCAATTAGGATCTCTGCAGATTTTTCAACCTAGACCCTGAAAGCTAGAACATCCTGGAACAACATATACCAAGTTTTGAAACAAAATGGATGCCAACCAAGAATTCTACGATCATCAGAATTAAGCTTTGGATTTTATAATGAAATAAAAACCTTTCATAATAAACAAAATTCAAAAGAATTTACAACTAGATAGACTGCATTATAGAACATCCTTGGCAAAATATTCCATGAGGAGGGAATGATAAGCTACAATGAAAATCAGCAAAGGGAAGTACTACACTAAAGGAAATACTAATCAGAGGAGAAACCAAATCAAGTTAAAATCCCAAAAATAAACAAATATGAATGGGAATACAAATCATGTCTCAATAATAACCCTGAATGCTAATGGCCTAAACTCACCAATCAAAAGACATAGACCAGCAGATTATATTAAAAAAAAAAAAAGACCCAACAATATGCTGCTTTCAAGATACTCATCTCATATGAAAAGACATGTACAGACTGAAGGTGAAAGTTTGGGAAAAAACATACCACTCACATGGACTGCAGAAAGAAGCAGGGTTTTCCATCCTCATATCAAATAAAGTAGACTTGAAGCCAAAGTTAATCAAAAGGGATAAAGAAAGACATGTCATACCGCTTAAGGGAACCATACATCAACATGATGTAACAAATATAAGTATATATGCCCTAAACAATGGAGCATCTATGTTCATCAAACACACTTTTCTGAAGTTCAAGAATCAAATGGACCACAACAAAATAATTCTGCATGACTTTTAACACATCTCTTTCAAGACTGGATAGATCTTTCAAACAAAACCTAACAAAGAACCTATAGAACTCAATAGTGCAATCAATTACTTAGACTTAACAGACATATATAGCATATTTCATCCACCAGCAAGTAAATATACTTTCTTCTCAGCAGCACATGGATCCCTTTCTAAAATAGACTGTACCTTAAGCCACAAAGCAACTCTGAGCATATACAAAGAAGTAGAGTTACTACCCTGCATTCTATCAGATCATAATGGAATGAAATTGAAATCAATTATAAAATAAAAAATAGAAGCTATTCCAACACCTGGAGACTAAATAATATGCTATTAACTGAACAATGAGTTGCAAAAGACATCAAAGAGGAGATTAGAAAATTCTTAGAGGTAAATGAGAACACTGATACAACATATTGAAATCTCTGGGATACTATGAAGGCAGTACTAAGAGGAAAGTTCATTGCAAGGAGTTCATTCCTTAAAAGAAGAAAAAGTCAACAAATAATGACCTAACATTACATCTCAAAGCCCTAGAAAATGAAGACCAAATCAACACCAAGAGCAGTAGAAGACAGGAAATAATTAAAATCAGAGCTTAAATCATTGAAATTGAAACAAAAGAAACAATTGAAAAACTGACAAAACAAAAATTTGGTTCTTTGAAAAAATAAAATTGATAAACTATTAGCCATGCTAATGAAGAGAAGGAGAGAGAAAACTCAAATTACTAACATCCATGATAAAAAAGGAAATATCATGACAGACACTACAGAAATACAGAAGATAATTAGAAATTATTTTGAAAACTTGTACTTCAACAAAATAGAAAATACTGAAGGCATCAAAAAATTTCTAGAGTCGTGTAATTTGCCCAAAATGAATCAGGATGATAGACACAAGTTTAAAGGGTCAGTTTCAAGCAGTGAAATAGAAGACACCATGAGAAGCCTACCAACCAAGAAAAACCCAGGACCAGATGGATACACAGCTGAGTTCTACAAGACCTTCAAAGAAGAACTCATACCAATACTCTTCAAATTATTTTTTGAAATAGAAAAAGATGGAACACTTCTAAACTCAATTCTATGATGCCAATATCACACTGATTACCAACCAGATGTAGACAGATCAAAGAAAGCAAACTTCAATCCAGTACCTCTAATGAACATCAAAGCAAAAATTCTCAATAAAATTCTGCCAATTTAGATTCAAAACATATCAAAAAGATAGTGCACTATGATCAAGTGGGGTTCATTCCAGGGATGCAAGGTTGTTTCAACATATGGAAATCAATAAATATAATTGATTACATATTATAAACTTAAAGATAAGATCATCTCAATAGATGCAGAAAAAGCATTTGACAAAAATGCAGCATCCCTTCATTTTCAAAACACTA